GGAGCAAAGGGTAGATGACCACCAGAGTGAAAGATCAAGGCTCTCAGAAAATTAAGGAAAAATCAAGATTATTGCAAAAGAAAAGAAAAAAACATTTCACGTATGAGGCCTGCGAGAAGTAACTATATCAAAATGTTCAAATATTATAGCCTTCTCTGCATTTGAAGGGAGGCTTTGTCCCTCATTTGAGAAGATGAAAGAATGTCCGTATTTATTTTTTGTTCCCCTTGCTGAATTGTCTCATTCACTAATGTGCAGCAAGCATGCAACACTACAATGAAACAGAGTTGACAAATTGCAAGATAAAGCAGCTAAGTGCTGCATTGGGTCTCTTACTTACTCTAAAAGCAATACACCATTTTCAGGATTAATACACCAGTTTTTATAGTGGTAATACCTTCATGTTGATTTTATTGATTTACCTTCTTATTGATCACCAAACATAACTGCAAAAATATGTGTCCTAATTATTAGTCTCAGCTTACTCTTATATGATCTGAGAGCTGTAGATAGCCTATAAATGAACTCTTCTGGAATAAAAATCATGTAAATAAATACACGTTAATGCCATTGTTTTACATTAGTTCCTTATTGCCCTTTGTGGGCAACATATATTACCATTACAATCTAAAAACATTTATTTGTACCTTTTGGACTATCAACTCTCTATCCATCTAACATTAGTTGTGAGTTCTGACCACCTTGTGCTGGTAATGTGCCACTGTAGCTTCTATTAGCTGCTTACTCATCTAAGGCTGCATATTCTGGGCCAATGGGAACTTGTAATGTACAAAATCTATAGACTGACCTCACCCACTAAAAATGGTAGTAGCCTGGCTGTCATTCTAAACAAATCAATTCATTGCTTTCTCCGTTACTGATCCAGAACAAGTATACAGATCAGGAGTTTTGGTTTTATTTGCTGTATGCATGTTCTTGATCTGTGGCTTGGAAAGTATGGAGCCACTGACGCTCAGACGACCAGTAATTTGTTGGAGGATGTCACTGATAACAAGCATAAGCCTGTGTCTTGGGCCTTGTGTCAATAGGTAGCTAACTGGCATTGAGATGAGTTTGAAACACTTCTGCTATATTCATAGTTCATTGTCAGGTGCAATTGACCTCCTTCTGATCTGGACTTTTATCATCATCATCATCATCATCATCATCATCATCATCGCTCAAGCTGCTTTTTGGTTCGCTTTGCCTTGTATGGGGAGAGAAGCAATTCTGAGCTGAATATAAGTCCACCAACACAGACCCTAACCTACATAAATCTCTTACCTTTAACCCCTTCATGACTGAGGCCCTTTTTTCAATTTTTGCACCCATACAGCCAAAATATATTTTATGAACGGTTAAGAATCTGTGAAGATTTTATTGCTATCTACAGTATTGGGGGTAAACATTCATGAAAACTGAAGTAATAAAAGACCACTAAAGGAGGGAAACTGCACAAGTATATAGAAGGAAAAAGCAAATTGTTCACGATCTTTCTTATACTAATGCCCGGTCTTACGGGACTAAAAGTGAGAGAGAATTTTCCTGAGAGGTTCTGGTCCTTCCCCTGCTCTGGCCAAAACTTCAAATAAAAAATGTCTTTAGTTCCACTTTAACCTCCTTTTTGCCCAGTAAGCATAGATTTATGCCACGATTGGTGTTGCATTCCTCAGCAGGGCTCCTAATTTCACAAGCCTTCTAGTACATACACTGTGAGAAGCTATACTTCAGTGTGCAGATTAAGTGCATAATATAATTGCTGTGACTGGGTTGTTAATGGCTATGGTCACAAAGATGGTGATGGAAGCTGAGTACATTGACTTATAGCTGGTGATTGCTGCCATTTGACAAAACGGTACCGAATAAACACTGGATACACATAGCAAGTACTTTTTAGAATGAAAATAAAATCTGTTCAAACTCACTCCTGTCATAATGGTACTAAATCTTCCTGATCACCCATGGGTTAAATAGATCTATTAGCAAATCTTGTGTATATTAAGAGAAGCATGGATTTTTTTTTTTTAATGGGGAGTTGGTTCACAACACAATCTCTTATATGGTTGTTTTTTGTTTTAATACGGAAGATCTAGATTTTGAAACTAAAATGGTCTCTTTAATTTCAGGAGTGAAGACAAACACCACAGCCATAAGAGAAGAAAGGACACTGACTAGACACCATTTCTTGTGTTTTGTTTTTTTCTGTAATTTTACTCCCCTATAGTTTAACATGCACAAGTTGTATCTTTTTTTTTTTTTTTACATTAAAATGTATTGGAGATTGTATGTTTTGTGGTATTGCTTATATGTTTCTCACCAGCACTCACCTCTTAATACAATTACATACAGGGTAAACATGTAAAATGAGGCTGTGTTAAACCCCCCTACTTTCTCCAAGCACACAAACCTATATTTCTGCACCTTCAGATATGAAAATGGGTATATGTAGCATTTTAGCTCAGGATTATGAACATGCATTTTTTTGCACTTGTAATATTAGATACCTTTTAAGTATATTTTTTTACACAAGGATAAGAATCTTCATTTTAGCCACATGACTTTATATTGCGTTGGACTGGGCATTGAAAATAACTGTCACCTTTTTTTTCTTCAGAAAATTGGGTTTCATTTAGTGATCTAGCACTGCAAATTCAGCTAATAATCTGGAGATTTAATGATAAAAAGAGATTTATCTCCAGGAAAAAAAAGCATCCTCTTACAGTGGGGTTACCCCCTGCATTGCAAGGGTTATCTGCTAGGGGAACTGTAAAAATCACTTTTACTTACCTGATCCCTGCTTCCCCAGCAGTCGGCATTTACCTTGTCCCTCCTCCACTCTGACTTGTGGACTGTGGCTCGGCATCCATATAACCCATATGATGGCCCTGCATTAGAAGTGATGATATCAACAGGCCTCTGACCACCAGAGTGTAGAGGGGGAGATGCCTGCAGGTAGCGGTCCTAAAGTCTGTGGGAGCAGGAATCGGGTAATTTAAAGTCCTTTACACAGCTCCCCTAGCCAAAAACGTGCAGTGCGGTTGTAAACACTATGGGGGGAATTTATCAAAACGAGCAGAGAGAATCTGGAGCAGTTGCCCTTGGCAACCAATAAGCATCTCTCTTCAGTTTGCTTAGGTAAGATTTGAACATGAGAGATAGAAGCTGTTTTGTTGCAGCGTTAATCTGCTCCAGTTTTGATAATTTCCCCCTAAGAGTTTACATAATCCAGTTTCAAGCGTCCGCACGCATTGATGTACTGAATTTTGTATCTCCATCTGCAGTGTGATGCCATCTATTGTACTGTGTAAAAAATATAATACATTTGTAGAGATGAGATAAGGATAACAATTGTGATGCTGAATAGATATGAAGTATATGCTATGCTAATAGATTTTCTTTTTCCCAGTGAACGATTCAAATCCTCTGTAATTTGACTCTTCTCACCCATGTGGCACTTTTAGCAAAGGATGACATTTCACATAGCTGAGCCATCTCATAAATCTTGCTTTATGTGATTATGAGTAAAGGGCTGACCAGGGACGTTTAGAATATGTGGCTATATTTGCATTTCCAGGGTCAGGCATTTCTCACCAGTTTGGGTGCTCCTTGAAGCCCTCAGCCCAGCAGACACACTGACTGATATGCAGAAGGCCGTTGACATGCTGCAGTAAAGACCTGTCTCTCCACACTCAAGGAAACTGTGTAGCCTTTTCTATAGTTGTAGATGAGCTAAGAATATCTTTAGTATGATCGTAATAAATATATATTAGAAAGAGCGTTAATTTTCCAAATTTTAAAGGGGGAGTTCAGCAACCATTTCAGGAAAATCATGGTTTCAGCTAAGGTAAGTGATGAGCTTAAATTCTTTAGTTATCATGGTTTCCAAATGTAACTTTTTTTTTTCTTTCAACCCATTGACGTGTTTATTGAATATTTTGAAAGTGTATGGTAAATCTGTAGACTGTTTTTTTAGCATGGTAAGGTGTTAAAATGATGCATTCGTTATATTGTCTTGGCTAGAAATACTTTGGGGTGCTTACTTTAGGCTAATGTAAAATGCATTATGTAGTCATACAGCAACTAATACAAATAGAGTTCTTTGCTGCATAGGCCAAGAGTGTAGGTGGGAGGGTGGAGGCCCCTACATTTGCTATCCATACATTTTCTTGTGCAGAAAACATTGTCATTCAGAAAATAATCGAGAGATGACATAAGTTTTAAAGAAAATTTGTCATATGAGAAGTAGCCAGGAGGTGCTGACCACCTCAAAATCCTGATTTCCTGACTGCCATGCTGTGATCTGACTTGATTATATTTTGAGCCATTGACTGATAAAGTATGTAAATCTACGGCGAGCTCTGACTTCCGTTGCTTCATGCTTGTTTGAGGTCAGGAACTCGGAAAGCATTGATGTTGGAGGACTGATGTGACACCCAGGCAACTGTGATTTTCAGAAAGGGGTCATTCTTGAAGTTTCTTATGGCAGGTCTCCTTTAGGCACTAAGAATTTGTAGATTTGCTACTTGACTGGAGGAAGAAAATGGTAAGGTTTGTGTTAGCAGGTTCACATTTTGATTAAAGAAAGCATTTTACAGTAAAGGAACTCCTTTGGGGTAAATAAGAGTTAATGTTAATTTAAGTATCCACTGGGTTTTTGCCCAGATCATAAGCAATATAATAATGTGGCCTTCCTTCAGTAGAGTCATTAATCATAAGACCGTCCCAACAATTCTGTCTTGACTCTCCATTGCTCCTGCTGATAGCTCTGTATTAGGAGCTTCTCTAGGGGGGTAGATCTAAATAAAAAAGAAAAAACAGGCTGCTTTAGGCAAGTGTTCAGCTATCTTTCTCCCCGGTTTTTATATATTGGTGTTGATTTAATATTGTTTTAGACTATATAGATTAATGTTGCCCATTATTATTATTTTTTAGAAAGGCAATCTATTTCTGTACAAGGGTAGGATGATATGCAATACAAAGCTGGTCTATAAAATCTGGGGCAACAACAGAGCTGCTTCTTCTAACCGTTGAACAGGTTTCAGCTTTTTAAACTGTAGTTTACAGAAAATGAAACATTTGCTTATGTTAGCCAATGGACATGTAAGTTATGAAGCAACAATCAAACTCGCTTCCACACTGGGCAACAGTTCCAAATTCCCAGTAAATCCACTCCTGTAAATTAAACAAAAAAAAAAATCTTCCTTAGATTTCCTTTTAACAGTTTTTAGACACTTTGCTACATTAATATTAAGTTTGTTTAAAGCAAAATTATTACCGTTTTAATATAGTTCATATTAAATTGTCATGTATGTAAGGGTTGATATTGCTGTGTATGGTATTTTAATTAAAGGAGAACTCTGGGAAAACATTATTAACCCTTGCAGTAGCTCGTTTGTGTCTAGGGACAAAAATAAAAAACATATACTCACCTGAAGTTCCAAGCCAGCCAGCTGTCACTGGGCTTCCTCCACAGCATATTGGAATGTTCCTCAGCGTCCTTGTGTCTGTACATAGTGTATCGATGTGATGATTTATGGGACCTTAGACCACTACAGAGTTGGGGTAGAGACACAAGAAGGACCTGTCTAAAAAGAAGCTGGCTCATAGCATTGGTGAGTATAATAAAAAAAAAAATGTTTTTTAACCTAGACACATGAGCAGTTAACACTTGCAGTGTGCGGGTAGACCCACTGCAAGGGTAATTAACACAATTCGCGGATTTCTTCTTTAAATGTGGATCTCCACATCAGACGACTGGTACTAATTTTTGAAGAATGGGGTTTGCTGTATTCTCCTCGTGAAAGACAGTGGGATTTTGGCTATTTCCTGTTTTGTGGGATCTCCTTCATTCACATTTAATAACATTTACAGTGCCTTAGTGGTTAGCACTTCTGCTTTGCAGTAAGGAGGTCCCCACTTTGAATCCAGGTTTGGCCAGGACACTCTCTGCATGGAGTTTGCATGTTCTCCCTGTGCTTGCATGTGTTTCTTCCAGGTTCTCAGTTTTCCTCCCACACTCGAAAAACACATGCTGGTAGGTTAATTGGTTCCTATCTAAATTGGCCCTAGTATGTATGCATATGAGACCTTCGACTGTAAGAGACTGATGTGAATGAATAGTATGTAAAGATTGGGTGGGTTTCCTCCCACACTCCAAAGGCATGCAGGTAGGTGAATTGGCTCCAGTCTAAATTGGCCCTAATATGTGTTTGTATGACCTTGGATTGTAAGCTTCATGAAGGCAGGGACTGCTGTGAATATTTATGTAAAGCTCTGCGTAAATTGCTGGCACTATATACATGCCTGTAATAAAGTAAATTATAATCTATACATGTATCATTTATTTGAAACTATGATTAAACAATGATAATTCCAATTAAGGGAGATCTCTCTGTTACGCTACATGTGGGTCAAGGGCAGTGGTTTACTCAAAGGAATAATATAATTCTGGAAAATTTGGACCTTGCATTTGAAGAATGTTGAATACAATGGTGTAAAAAAATTATGATGCAATGAACAGTTATTGCCTTCTGCACTATAGATAACTGTCTCTCAATCCATGGAAAAATCTACCACACGCTTTGTTATTAATAGAAAAAAAGACAGGGTTGCCCCTCTTAGAAACCCTCAGTGCCAGGAACATGACTGCAAGTCAAGCATAATGAATAAAAAGTGCACACGCTACAAAACAAGCAAACCTACATATCTGTGGTTCAGGAATAAAAGATTTTTGTTGGAGCTTGGCTGTAAAGTTCTAGTTTTAGTTCTAGTGTATTTTACAATATAAATGTCAGCACAAAATGAGATATATTTTACACCTATCTGCCTATTTCACGTGGAGTTGCGAACAAACGGCTATATAGCCAGTCCTCAGCAAACTAAAACCTTTTCTTTATTCTGCTTGTGTTTAGACAACTCTTAGGAGTGTCACTGACCTGTGAGCAGGAATGTCTGAAGTTCCCACAGCTTAGATGTAAATTTCTGTCATTTAAAGATCTATCATGAGACTGTGAAGTGCATACTTATATTCATTTATGCATATTATTGTCATTTATGAGCTACGCCAATTGTTTGCTCTGCTCCCACCCCTAAAATCAGTATTTCATTCCTTGTCCACGTGGAAGTAACACAGCTGACGGTAATACAAATCAAGTTTCCTATGGCCATAGAAAAACTAAGATTCTAGTATTGTATGTGCTTTATTTTACAGGTAATCCATTCATTAAAAATGACAGCAAAAAAACTATTGCATCATTAAAAAAATACTGGAAATACCATTTCAGAACCAGAGACCTGAACTTGTATTTTGTCCCTGGCCAGCAGATGTCACAGCACTGACTGGGCTCCAAGGGATCATATGGCCCACAGTACATGTTCAGGGTGCGTCTTTCTATCCCTGTTACCTACCCAACATTCAAGCTACTTTGTTAGGTTTATGAATGCCTTTGAAAGAAGTGCAGATGCCATTCATGTTTAGCTGAGTGGCAGTTTAAAAAAAGGTGGGATTGTTATGCCTTAAATAAAAATGCAAACTGTAGAAAGAGTAATTCATTAAAAAAAGTCCCACAATGTAAATCAAATATTGGTCATACCATTCAGCGATGTAGATCCATTATCAATAACAAAGAGCGAATGCCCTGACGACCTGCAAACATGACAACCCACACAATCCATGACAATCCTCTTGACAATACTTCCATCCCAAATGACAGTTCCATGGTGCTGCTGGAATGTCACCACAGTACTGGGGACCCTGGGTTAGGTCATTGGCTAAAAATGATCGTTACCATGTTTAGTTAATATCACCTTGGAACACTGAAGTGATAGAGTTGCCTGCTGTATCATGTGCACAACTAGTTCTTATGTAAAGTAATATTAAACTAGCTTAGAATCCTTTTAACTTTAATATCACTTTAAAGAAGAACTCTGGGCAGAAATAATCCTAACCCTTATAGTGGGGCTCCCTACACTGCAAGGGTAAAGTGCTCATTTCCATCTAGGGATGAAAATAACCAAGATATACTCTTCGGTCCCTGCAGCCTCGCTGCCCCTCTGCTCCAGCAGTCAAGGGGCCTGTAAGTCATCATGTCCAATACAGTGTATAAAACGTTAGGACGACGAGGGACATTTCATCCCTTTGCCATTGGCCCAAACCATCCACAGATCTCAAGCCTCTGACTCCAAGTCAGAGGCTTGTTGTAGCTCTGTTCTCACTGTTTTAGGTTACACACAGCAATGGGGAAGCCCGCTGCTGTGTAACCTAACATAGCTGTGAAAAGCCAAATGAAGCACTGTCTGTAATTAACAGGTTAGAAGCCGCTCTGAATGGAGAAAAGGCTGTTGGCTTCAGACTTCAAGCTGACAGTCTCACCTGCCTCCCCAGACTGCACGTCCCTGGTACATTGTGAAAATACTATATATTTTTTCTTGCTTTAACGTGCACTGCTAATTCTCTGGCTGTCACACTGGTCCAATGATTTTATTCATTTCTAAATTAATTGTCTTGAAACAAGTATTCAGATCAGGAGTTCTGACTTAACTTCATTTACTTGCAGGTTCAAGTTCCCTGTCTACTGGAATTTTCAGAAGGTGTTAATCAAAGACAGCCCCCATTATTGTCTCAGTAGAGGTTGCTTTTAAACTAGATACTGCAAGGCTTAGAAAACTGCACAGTTTAAAAGCCCCTGTTTAAATTTCCCCATAGCTCTTAATATACTGCCATTGCAATTACTCACTGAGTGTTATATCTAGCTTAACTGAATGCAGGCAAATGCTTGAGGCAAACTAGGCCCTTTACAAATTGCTTTCATTACTTTACTTTTCAACTGCCAGCTTTACATCAAA